CAGAAGCATTATGCTAATCTACTACTTTGAAATCTGAGGTCTGTGGCAGACTTACAAGTCTACAGAATATTTTCTTAATCATTTACAGAATTCTCCTATGTGAAATGACCATGCAAGCTAAGTTACACTGGGAAGCATTAGCTCTTCCCTCTAAAAGTCCCTGATATGAGCCTGCCTCTCTCACACACAGGCATACATCTTGCATTCGTATCCACATGTAATCCAACTTTGAGAGGCAGCACGAGAGTTCCCCACTTAAAACCGTAGTTAGTAAGTCACTCTCCTCAGAAACAAGGTCCAAATGTCTTATAAGAAGCAGAGGTAACTGAAGAGAGACCTGTCAGGTTTAGCCTCAGGCAATATGAAATTCTAGAAAAAGAAGCTGTTCCCATATTTCCCAAGACAGCATGAAGTACTTACTTGGTTCCAGATGTTCAACTGAAGCACTAAGATACATGGAACAGTAAGTCTTTGGCTTATTTACCACCTGGCACTGAGTCAGGTACTTACTGCTCTCTAATTTCTCTCTAGTTACTGAGAGAATTTAGGATGAAGCAAGGAGGCACACAGTGGAGTGAGGCATTTGCTGGAGGAAGGAATAGCTCATTGTAGACTGTACCGCAGCGGGCACCACACTGCTGCTGAAATCTGGCTTGAATTGACACTGTGCTTTGTGAGACCTTCATGTTCTTATTTCTCTGCCACTGGTGAAGAAGGGTATGCCAGCCTGAGAGCAGGAACAGGAGTGCTGAATAAGTCTATTGGGGAGCTAAACATTTGTTCCCTCCTGAAATTAAGGAAATAAAACCTGGTGGGATACAGTTAGATAGTTCTGTTGTTTTCCTCTGTGCCCAGGTTTTAAGTATAAGCAGATTACAAACTATATATGCTCTAAACAGGCTATCCAGGACCACAGGGGCAGCCTGGAATGCCTGCTCCACCGGGAAGCAAAGGAGAAAGTGGACAAATAGGTATGATCGGAGAAATTGGCCCAAAGGGAAGCAGAGGTGATCCTGGATTAGCAGGGAGACCTGGTGTTCCTGGATTCCCTGGACCAAAAGGTAAGGATGGGAAATGCTGATCTTGGCCAGGAGCAGTGGAGCCCCCTATGCTACAGCAGCTTAATTACCATGACTTTTGCACTCGATCTGTGTTAAAATGCAATAATGCCACCTGTCATTTTGCATTAAAGGTCGTAAGGGTGAACAAGGTGTCATTGGCTTTATGGGCACCGTAGGATTTCCAGGTGATTTAGGACCTATTGGACCCAAGGGGGATAGAGGAGTAACTGGTAAGTAAGTACTGTCAGATGTGTGACTCCTTTCTTAACCACTCATTTTTGCAGCTGATCTAACTGGCCCTGCTTTGAGCAGGAGGTTGGGCTGGGTGACCTCCAGAGTCCTCTCCATCCTCCATGACTGTGAATCCTGGCAAATTGCAGTGGACAGATGCCTGAATTTAACATGAGTTAAATTTTTTGCCATTATGAATTTAATTTGTATGAGGTGCCAACTCCAGAGACACTTTTGGGGTTAAAAAAAAGAGAAGAATTTCTGATCTAAACAAACCTTCCAGAGTAGACATACTGAACATATAGAAAGACCTTTAAAATCCTTCACTCCATCATGTATTTGTGTCTCTTGAAGCCCACCAAAAGATGGTGCTGCACTTCAGAGAGCTGTTGGCTGTTTGGGTGGAACTTCCCAGCACCCTATGTCATAAGTGAAGGAGCAGTAGCATCATTCATTTCCTTCTGCTTATCTGTATACTGTCCAAGAGAAAATAATCTCTTGGAGATTATCACTTACTTGGAGATGGTCTCATCTTGGAGATCCCATACTCACACACATTCAACCAACATAATATAGCTGCTATACCCAAAGTGGTGAGTTGCAGACAATAGTCCCTCTCATACATATGCAGCTACGTGAGAGCAACATATCTGTGGATGAAAGCACATAAAGAAAAAATACAGGATAGTTGGGTTTTTCTTTTAATCAAACTATCTCATCTTGCTTCTAATCACAGGCTTCCAGGGACCACCAGGCTCTCCTGGGCTGCCCCCTCTTCCTCCAAGGCTGGTGGCTGAGCAAGGTTCACCAGGTCCCCGTGGAAATATAGGACCTCCTGGAAGCCCAGGAGATATGGGACCTCAAGGTCCACCAGGGGATCCAGGTAGGAATTGCACATTCAGACTGAAAGCTCAGTTCCCCTGAGCAGAGTGAGGCCATCAGAGTAATGCTTTGACTCTCTTCTACTTAAAATTCTGTGAGGAATTCTTCAGAAAGGAGAGTCGACTGACTCAAGCTGGGGCTTTGGCTTTCCTTCTCCTCTTAGCATTCGGAAAATAACCAAACATTCAGAATATAACCAAAATGGGAGAAAACTTTGGCAATGCTCACATAGCCAAAGCAACATCAGATATGGATCTCACTCAAATCAAGACTGAACATCTTGGGTGTAAATCTGCACATTGTTGTGGGCGTGCTGTCAGCCCAGGGAATTATGTAGTGTTAGTGATGTGTGGACCCAATGCACTGCAGCTCTTGCTATGAGCCTCATCAGAGATGAATGGTACCAAGAGTAAAGGAGTAGGGTTGTGGGGTTCATGTAGTCTTTCTTGATCCCAGCAAGCTTTTCCAGTGAAGTTAGTGCTTTCTTTGCCTGAGCAAGCATGATAAGATCTTGCCTTTAGTGTAAATTAGTAAACTTGGCAGATAGGACCAAATGTACATAAATGCATGTTAACAAAGTGGGTAGCATGTTGATAATCTCTGCAGTCACTGTGCTTACAACCATTGTTGTGCAAGGTTTCAGAGGTTCACCTGGAGAGCCAGGACTCCAAGGCAGGGGTGGTATTCCAGCTCCTCCCGGCTCCAGAGGTGAACAAGGAGGAACAGGATTTCAGGGTCCAGTGGGATTTGAAGGTAAGAGGTATCACATGACACTTCTTCCCTTTTCCCATTTCACTGCAATTGCTCTGTAGTTACTGTAGTCACTGGAAGGAGAGAAGAGGAGGGGAGGGAGGAGAGAGAGAGAGACAGAGAGAGAGAGAGAGAGAGAGAGGAGCAGATTGTGAAGTTTCTGTCGTTATAGATACTTCACAAGGGACAACCTTTAACAGTTATCTTAAAGCAATATTTTCAGAATAAATTTTGATAGATGTAGATGTCTAATCACTTGTGAGTTTGTTTTGATCTGAGTGTATTTTTATATTCTCTTTAAGTATTTTCAGTGTAGTGTTTTACTAACAGTTACATTCATGGAAATGAATGGCTAGGTAGGTGATATTTGGACAGATGAAGTTTAAGGGAATGTATTTGTAAAAGAAATACCTGTGTCCTCATCAAATCAAAGAGTAGAAGTATTACTATCTTAATTAGCTAAGTACATAGAGAAAAAAGGTATCTGCAGAGCATAGTTTCAAGTGAATGAATCAAATGCAAGCAATTCAAAAACCACTGGTTAATCTTGGAGTAAGAAAACATTTTAAAAGAAAAATATGCTTATCTGTATCGTACTAAGTATGCTCAAATTAATCAGAATTTTATTTGTGACGTTCCCTAGCTCTGACATCATCTTAGAAACCAGGGAGCCTGATCCAGCACCAATCTACTTCAAAAACAGCTGCTGTAATCCTAGAACTGCAGCTCCTTTAACAATAATTTACCATAAGAAGAGGCATCATGCAATTAAACTTTATTCATCAGCAGCTTAGCTGGAATATCAGCTATCATCAGATCATTTGTGGGAGCACCAACTAAGCTGTATTCTTTCTTTTACCCCCTGTTCTAAGGTCAGCCAGGCCGCCCCGGTAGCCCTGGGCCACCAGGCATGCCAGGTCGCAGTGTTAGCATGGGCTACCTGCTGGTGAAGCACAGCCAGTCTGATCAAGAGCCAATGTGCCCAGTTGGCATGAACAAACTCTGGAGTGGATACAGCCTGCTGTATTTTGAAGGACAAGAGAAAGCACACAACCAGGATCTAGGTATGTACAGATATTGCTGGCAGCAGCCTCAATTCCAAAACTGGGACTTCAGCAAACAGGCTTAGGAAACATCAAAATGAGAAGATAAAAACTTCATGGCTCCATAGAGTGCCCCTGAGAGAGCTCCTGAAAGTCATTAGTGTTGTTCCAGGGAACCTGTAAAGCCAGCAAAACATTCTGGACCACAGGGTTTTACTGGCAGGTGCTTGGGAAAGAGCAGAAAACTGAAAATGTGTATTGTCCTCTGTGAGAATGATTGGTCTTTTTTCTTTTTTTTTTTAACAGGGCTGGCTGGCTCATGTTTGTCTCGTTTTAGTACTATGCCATTCCTCTACTGTAACCCTGGGGATATTTGTTATTATGCAAGTCGAAATGATAAATCCTACTGGCTCTCAACTACAGCACCTCTTCCAATGATGCCTGTGGCAGAAGATGAGATTAAGCCATATATCAGTCGCTGCTCGGTTTGTGAGGCCCCAGCTGTGGCAATCGCTGTCCATAGCCAAGAAGCTTCTATTCCTCACTGTCCTGAGGGCTGGCGCAGTTTGTGGATCGGATATTCCTTCCTCATGGTATTTGGTCTCCAGTGTCACATTTTGTGTGGCACTGGGTTTTATATTTGAGTCTTAGATACTAGGAAGGCTGCTCTACTTTAAAGCCAGCAAGATCAAAACCATGCATCATACTGGGCAACCAGGGAACTACAAAACTAGTTTCCACAAACCAAAGAGGAAAAACAAAATTTCTGTGAATTTCAGAGAAAATGGTCTCTTCTCAGCATAGCATATGGAGACCTTACTTTTTGTACAACATAGAGCTTCAGAGCAGAATAAAGCTGTGAATTAACAAATTAAGTTGCACTGAGGTGCAACAGTAGCCTACAAAGCATTTTCACAGCTAAAGATTAAGAGTTACTTATCACTGTTAAGGATTTGATTTAGAAAATAAAAAAAACAAGAACTTTTCCCCTTCTTTCTGAAACTTAAAAATCATAGGTGTTTGGTTGAAAATTTAGAAGCCAAAGTCTTTCACTGAGTCTGGAAAGAGAGACAGTCTCTGGTTGTTTTTAAAATCAGGCTTCCATGTTGTATCTGTAATGGCAATAACAGCTTGGCTTTATAGGATCTCTGAGAGCTTGTTATCTTGTAATTCAGAAGTGGGATGTTACAGAAGAACTTAGTGCTAGGTGTGCAGCAGATGACCTACTGAAGGGCCTGACCTGCATTTCTTGCAGACCATACAGAGGGATCATGTGAGCACTGGAGGGTTTAACACTGGCTGTGGTAAAGAGCAGCTAGAATGTCAGTGAACGATCTAACAGACACTCATTTTTCTGATTTGCTTGATGTACACAAGAGTCAAAACCTGCAACAGTGTGCCCACATTGTTAACTCATTGAAGACTGGGCTGAATTCTGGGCTGTTGGGAGAAAAATAAGATTTCTGTGGCAGAAGACATCATAAAAGAACAACAGTCAATCTTACCCACAACCATTTGTATGTCCAAAGCCAAAAACATAAATTTTTCAGAAAATAAGGTAAAAGGGAAATCTGAAATTAGTTACAGAAAATATACCCCCCAGTTTTGGAGAGCAGGTCAAATTTTTTATCAGCCCTATGTTTGACTTTTCTTTTGCTTCTATAAAAAGCCCTGATACCAATCTCATAGTTACTTCACGAGAATTCCAAGGATTAATTAAATGTTTGCAAAACCTTGCGTAAACACTGAGCATTTTTAAGAGCAAAGTTGTCACTTTAGCAATAAGTTTTTGCCAGGACAAAGTCTGTCAGCACTGTGGAACACACAGTGAGAAGAATTCACATTTTCCCAGCTGGCTTTTGGAGCAAATGAAGTGTTTGGTGTACGCATTTTTGCTTCTCAGGCAACTGTGAAAGAAGTTCAGCACACTTGTGGTTATCTCAGAGTACATATTGTTTTAATTCCTTGGCTTAAATGTGTCACCTCATTCCCCTGAGTAAGGTACAGTATCAGTCAGCGTGGATTCCTGCCCGTGCTAGGTTGGGGCCTTTGGGAAGGAGGGAGTTGTTGCTTTGTGGGTTTTTTTTATAAACCACAACCATCTAAACCTCAGCACTATGTGACACCAGCCAGAGATCAGTCCTTTATTCAGCCAAAATGTGGCCATTTCTGTTATTTGTCTAACACAGTGGACCTCTTGCAGCATAAACCAAGGCAGTTGCAGCTTGCACTTTCATAGTATGGTGTTTATTAAAACATAGGCAGGCAAATGTATTGGATGTGCCCAGATTTCTCCCAACATTTACAAAACTATTTAAGAACTCTATTTTCCAGCTTCTTTCTTTTATATTGTAGATTGTTTCAGTTTCTAACAGAAAATTCAATGGTATCACTTAAAAATACAGCTGTACAGCTCTTAAAGGGACAGAGAAAATGCCCATTTTGTTAGCAATGTCTTTGACAGAAGTAACATTCAGTTCGTTATCACAGTATCTATCAAAGGTAACATTTGAGTGATGTAAAGATGCATGATTTTGGTGTAATTTGCTGTCAAAAAACATGTCATAGAGGGAACTAGTTATCTGCATAGAAGATAATTTTGTTTCCACGGTGCTCCTCATGTGTGATGCAGAGTAAGACAGGCTTTATAACTTGGGGAATTCAAGTTAGATATATGGTGGAAAGTTCTTCTTAGTGAGGGTAATAAAACAGAGGAACAAGTTGCCCAGAGAAGTTGTGGGAAGTCCATCCTTGGAGGTATTAACAACTGAACAGCACCCTGGAGCAACTGAGGGCAACTTCGGTGTAGACCCTGCTTTGAGGAGGGGACTGGCTGAAGTGACCTCCAGTTGGCCCTTCCCAATGATTCTCCAATTTTAAGACTTCCAACAGTGAAAATTTTAACTATAGGAAGAAGATTTTAAAGTGGCATCAGCATATGAGCTAGCTCCTTTATATAGTTGTAGCATAGCCAAACCCTTACAAAACTGCAGGACTGGCTGACTTTCTGCTCTGGAGATAAGAATAAGAAGAAATTCCAGTGGTTTTTCTCTTTTCACACATATGAATTTATGACAGCATTGCCTGAGGTTGCACTCTGAATGCTGCCTTCCTTATCTCCTTTAGCACACTGCTGCTGGTGATGAAGGTGGAGGACAGTCGCTGGTTTCTCCTGGGAGCTGCCTGGAAGACTTCAGAGCGACTCCCTTCATCGAATGCAACGGCGCCCGCGGAACCTGTCACTACTTTGCAAACAAATACAGCTTCTGGCTCACTACCATCGACCAACCCTTCCAAAGCAAGCCCTCAGCAGACACACTCAAGGCAGGACTCATCCGAAGCCATATCAGCAGATGTCAAGTCTGCATGAAAAACTTATAGAAGACTTTCACAGTATAAGGAACCACCTTATCATGTAGTTCTTATACAGTGGAGCCTTCTGTGATGGTTAGACAACTAAACAGATCACGTTGGTGCTTTTTTTAACTTATTACCTCAACAGCTGAATGGAAACAAATCTTTTTAATTGTCTGTAAAAGCAGATTAAGTCTAACACACAGATCTAGCGCTGTGTTCTCCTACTATGCAGTATATATACACTTTTTGCTAGTCTAACATTACATCATTTGCCAAATGATAGAGATACAGCTTTGAAACACCAAAAAAACTTCAATAATAAATGGTTACCTTGGACAGATACCCACCACATTTATTTTAACAGAATATATGTATCTTTCTATTTACTGCATTTGTCACAGCAGTGAAAACTAACAGCTGCAGATCCATAAATTAACACAAGGTGATCAAAGTACTAAACCCTTGCAAAATAATGAAAATATACTGTGATCCAAAATGCTTATGTCCAGCATTGAAACCTAACTTTGATTTTAGTATTTTATGCTCGGGCATTTCAAACACACACAAAACATCTTTTTGGGTTTTTTTAAGCCTCACCATGCTTTAGCACTTAACCATTGCCAATAACAGAGAAGCCCACAGGCCTCCCAGAAACAGTAATCACAAAATACAACTCTTCCTCTTTGGTTAAGAGTCTCTGGGACGAAGATCAGCATTTTATTTTATATGCTTGATGATTTTTTTCTAGACATACCCCAGGCCAAAGGGTGCTGTGGACATTTCATCTGTGTCACACCACCCACACAGCAGCAGCACCAATTGGTTTTTTCATTGCAGCTTTTCTCCTCTGAAATCAAGCCACTCATCACAAACCGATTTTAGCCGCTTCCTGTTGGAGCAGCTATTGCACATAGGGTGGGCTCTGCAGGAGAGTGCATTGCTCCGTGCCACATGACCTTCAAACACGGAACTTGCAGACCTGCCAGCTGGCTGTCTGAAGGCATGCTGTCCTGGCAGCTGGGGACATGTGGCAATGGGATGACCATCATCCCAACTTGCACACAGCCATCCTTGCAAAAGCAAAAAGGAAGGAAACAAAGCATTTATTTGGCACCATCATTTCCCATAATAAAGGCTTGATAAATGACAGAATGGCTAGCTCTTCCTTCTGTGGAAAGAAGCAATTTAGCCCAAAGTTGTCTGTCACCACTGCAAGAGAGTGGGAAAAAAAGGATCAGCTGAAAAATTCTTATTTGCATAATCTGGTTATATACTTGAATGTTTAATTTGAAGTGGAAGAAGAGACTTTTATAGCAATGACAGTTGATTTTTAATAGCTCACCTCACTCCTGCTTCAGGTGCTTCTTCGCTTTTATAATTACATTCCATCCTCACTGTATCATAAATAAAACCTGGGGGTTTTCTACACTTATTTGTTGATGATTTCTATTTTGTTAATTGTGATTTTCCATATGGGCTGCTCTGTTAAATTACTTTGTTTGCACCTAAGGAGTTAGAAAAGCACTCCCAGAAAGCTCCTCCCACCGAAACTCAAACTCTTCAACCAGGGATACACCTGTTTATTTCATGGCACTTAAAAAGATCCAGTAGGGAAGATTTGTGTCTAAAATTGCTTGTTTAAGCTGAATAACTGAAATAGCATTTCACGTGTTCTTAAAACAATTTAAGCCAATAAATTGTGATGTTGCAGAGTAAAACAACCTATTTTTCATGCTCTACAATGTTCAAGAAACCAACATTTACCAAACTTGACATGTGTTACCTCCACAAAAAATATAAAGTATAAATTAAGTTAAAGTTCCTAAAATCACAGAATCATAGGATGGTTTGGGTTGGAAGGGACCATAAAGATCAATTAGTTCCAACACCGCTGCTGTGGACAGGGACACCTTCCACTAGACCAGGTTGCTCAGAGCCCCATCCAACCTGATGCTAAATACACGTTGGGAGCATCCACAACTTCTCAGGCCAATGTATTCCAGTGCCTCATCACCTTCATAGCAAAGAATTTTTTGCCTACTATCTAATCTAGACCTACTCTCTTTCACTTAGAAGGCATTCCCCCTTGTTCTGTCACTACATGCCTTTGTAAAATATCTCTATCCAGGTTTCTTATAGGCTCCATTCTGGTACTTAGCTAGCACGCTGTCTAACCTAAACATATAATTAGATATGTCTATAAACAGATTACCTGAGCTTGAAATGAGCTCTCTGGCCATATTGTCTCTCTCTGAAAGACAGCACCTAAACAAACTTATGACCCTGTGATTTGTTTAAGCTAAATAAAACATTTAAAACTGAAAATATTGCAGTCAACATAAGCTAAATCTATTCCACGTTTGCCAATTGTTTTAAATGACACATGGCAGTAACAAATACCCAAGTATAGGCAACTTCCAGGTTGTTGCTAGGCATCAGTGGTTGTGGGATGATCACACAACTATCACTTGTGGGTTGTACAGCCTGCAACTCTGGCAGTGCAGCACATTCAGTGTTTTAAGAGAATTCAAGTTGAGGTTGTACAAATCTATAAAAACCAATTATGTCAACAGTAAACTATTTGGATTTTCATAGCTAATATGTTTGGTAATCTTCCTATGAAGCTGACTTTTTTTGTACTTAAAACTTCAGCAGGTAGGTCTTCCACCAACAGTTGCTTTGCCTCCATTTTCTCTGGCTCATGGAGGCTGTTCTTAAGTTTGATCAGAGCGGAACCAGCACAGCACTGAGCTGAACACACCATCATGGTGCAGGAAAAACCAAACCAACTACAAACCCCCCCAGGGTGCCAAGCAGGCTTGAACTTCTGCACTTTGTGTATGCCATGTGCTGGGGACTCACATCTGTGTTTCTCCAAAGCCTGCGCAATCACTTCTTTGAGAAGAGGAGGGAGCTTGTGCACACAAACACGTGGAATACTCACAGCAGACGGAGCATTTCACTTTGTGAGCTAATCTGGAGCACTGCATGGAGGGGAACTGACCCAAACTACCTCTTAGCTGCAAGTTTACTTCCTCTCTTATGAAGACTGTCTGAGAGAACTGGGGTTGTTTAGCTGAAGGAGAGCAGGCTTCAGGGAGACCTTATATCAGCCTTCCAGCACCTCAAGGGGGCTTATAAGCAATGTAGAGAGTGACCTTTTACCAAGACTTGTAAGAACAAACCAAGGGGCAGCAGTTTCTAACTGAAAGAGGGTTGATTTAGATTAGACAGGAGAGCATTTGTTACTGTGAGGGTGGTGAGACACTGGAACAGGTTGCCCAGAGAAGCTGTGTATGCCCCATCCCTGGAAGTGTTCAAGGCCAGGCTGGATGGAGTTCTGAACAATCTGGTCTATTGAAAGCAGCCAGTGGTTTGGAAGGAGATGATCTTTAAATTCCCTTCCAAACCATTGCACAATTCTGTGATTCTAGAACCCACTTTCAGGAGGTTAAAACATTCTTATAGCAGAAAAACTCAGATACAGCAAAACAAAAGTCTTTTTACTGAACTACGGTGCTCCAGCCTAGGATGTATAAAACACAAGTGTTTTGCCTCCATTTGACCAAATCTTTTGCTACAAAGTATCCTGTTTGCTTCCTACACTTTCCTGTTTGAAAACATGCTGAACTATAATGTGGTCCTGATCCTGGAGAAGGTAAATGAGATTATATTCCACTTCTGTAGGTAATGCATCAGTATATCAATACAGATATAGTGAAGTCAACATAGCAATGTGAGTTGACACCAATTATTTCCTCAGAGTGTATCAACCAAATCAGCTGAATTTGTTCACACTGTACATGACTGGGCTTGTCCCTGGCTGCCAGAAATAGAAAATTAGCAAACAGTAAGCAGTAAACACGACCTTGACATGGAAGGTGTCAGATTGCTGCCAGGGGAGAAGCTGAGGGGTCACTGCCCATGTGCCAACAGCGGCCCAGCGCAGGCAGAATCTGCCCCTGTAACTGCATAGGGACCAGCAGCCCCCCCAGAGGTGGCCACCTGCCCCCACTGACGGTGAGTGGGGGTCTGGTCCCACAGCTACGCAGCGCACGGTGGTGCAAGACATACTGGACAAGGGGAAGAAGTAACATCACTGCTCCCTATGACCTGTGAGCAGAGAAGCAAAAACAGACAGGGGTGCTTTCCTGCTGTGATGTGGGCAAGAAGGTGACTAAGCCAAAGCAGGCAGCTCAGCAGCTCTGCCAGTCCTATGGGCACTGAGGAACTTCTGGCTCCTTTTGTGGCCCCCACAAGACTTGAAGCCTTGATGGGATTGTCAAGGGCCAATGACAACCTCAGTCTTGCACCATCAGTGCCTGTGATGGGCAGGAAGCAGAATGGATACATCCCAACCAGCCTGGCACAGATCCTCACTTGTTCACCCTACCATCCCTCCCTCCCCCATGGGTCACAGTCTGGCTCAGCCATCACCTCAGGCACAGGCAGGCCTATAGCTTACATTCACTCAGCATTGCCAAAAAAAACATTTCCTATCCAATCACCAGACATAACAGGGAGAGAGAGGGGGGAAAATCAACATTTGTAAAATGAGTTTCCCCTCCAAGGCAGAATAAGCAGAGTCCCTGGTCCATGCCTTCACCCGCCTTCACTTCTCCTGGCAGGGAGGGTTTCCCTTGGCTTCAGCAGCACCACCACATGCCCAGCTCCAGGCCACACAGCAAGGTTATTAATGGAGAAAGCGACCTCATAGTGATGGAGAAAAATGTGCTGCAGCCAGTGGGGTGCAGAAGTGCTGGCATTGAACCAGTGCATGGCACAGCCACTCTCAGTGCTGGCCCAACATGACTAGTGGCCCAGCCCACAGCTGCTGTGCTACATCAGCTGCTAGGCTGTGTGGCTGTTAAGGCAACAAGAGTTAGAACAAGTGTGCTTCTGCGCAGTTCCTGTGCTGCCAGTCCCTACCCTGCAGCTTCACTGCTCTTCTCTATCAGTAGGTGGAGATTAATTATTTCAGTAAAATTATGTAGGATGGAAGGTGAGGGAAGAGGGGCAAAAAGATGTCTTTAGCAGTGCTGGGATACCAGGATCTATCTGCAGAAGCAACATGGAAATTAATGAATTCATGTTAGGATACAGGCCATATTGCATTGCTTCTCTATGCTCTTAAAACAAAAAACAAACCCAAAATAAACAAAGAACAAAACCGCAAAAAAAATCCTCAGCACCACTAAACAGAAAAAAAAAAATTCTGTGCAATTTCAGTGTTGAGGGTTGAACTGTGCTCTCTAATAATGCTTGCAGACATGCATAGGCACCACTGCAGCAGACAGAGCATCAACACTGGGCTGTAAAAATGGAGCTCAGCTATATCAGTTTAAATTACTAGTATATTTAAAAAAAAACCCCAAACATCCTACATCAAATTCCAGAATCTTTCAAGTTTTTCTTGAAGGCAGTGTGCCCATGTGGCCAAGAAGGCCAATGGGATCTTGTCCTGTATCAAAAATAGCGTGGCCAGCAGGACCAGGAAAGTGATCCTTCCCCTGTACTCTGCGTTGGTGAGGCCACACCTTGAGTATTGTGTTCAGTTCTGGGCCCCTCAGTTCAGAAAGGATATTGAGGTGCTGGAGCGGGTCCAGAGAAGAGCAACAAGGCTGGTGAAGGGACTGGAGCATAAGTCCTATGGAGAGAGGTTGAGGGAGCTGGGGTTGTTTAGCCTGGAGAAGAGGAGGCTCAGAGGTGACCTCATCACCGTCTATAACTACCTGAAGGGAAGTTCTAGCCAGGTGGGGGTTGGTCTCTTCTCTCAGGCACTCAGCAATAGGACAAGGGGGCACGGGCTTAAGCTCCACCAGGGGAAATTTAAGTTGGATATCAGGAGAAAATTCTTTACAGAGAGAGTAATCAGGTATTGGAATGGGCTGCCCAGAGAGGTGGTGGATTCACCATCCCTGGAGATTTTTAAACGCAGATTGGATGTGGCACTGAGTGCCATGATCTAGTAAATGGACTGGATTTGGAGCAAGGGTTGGACTCTATGATCTCAGAGGTCTTTTCCAACCCAATTGATTCTATTCTATCTGATTCAGAAAGTGATAAAGAAACAGGGTTAGCATGCATACTGAGCAATCTAGATCTCCTCCTGACCTCTCATCAATAGCTCCCTTGTATTATGCAATTTCCCAAGTGTAACTGTGTGACCCCATGATCTCACAGGTTGGTAGAGTGACAACCCATCATAACCCAGACATTTCTCAAGAACAATAGCCAACAACACTAAAAAGCCACAACATCATGCCAGATAAGTGTAGCTCTAAGGGCAAAAGCACAGCACACAAGACTTTTTCCTGTGTCATCTCTTTTGGTAAAAACACCCAAGTTGGAGTTTTTAGAAATACTGTAAGAATTCCTTAAGATCTGATATGAATAAAGCATCTCCCAAAAAGCCTGACCTTGTAATCAGTG